AGGAGGGGCAGCGGGCGGGCGAATCTAAGGATGCACGAGCCTTTCAGTCATCCGTGGTTCCCTTCCATTCTGCTTGCCCGTGCCTGCCTGTGCGTGCACCCGTTTGCGTGCGGGGTTCAAGCCAAGCTCGCGTTGGACAGTGTCCACATCTGCGGTTCGCACAATCCTCTGTAACCTTTGGCTTTTTGATGACCACCCTTGGCGTAAACATGAAGACGGTAACAATGACGATGAGGATTATGATACTGACAATGCCGATGATGGTGATAATGCTGATGATGGCGACGATCACCAACGTAGTCGGGGTCCCGCCTGGGAAGCGCTAAACTACCGAGCGTGATCCAGAGTCTCCTCTTCGACGGGTGAGGGCAGAACGCGAGGTGGTCCTTCCATGCGCACTGCACCTGGCACTTCCGCGGCAACCGCCGCTGCGAGCGAGCCCGCGCTGATCGCCTCCCTCCCTCCCTCGCACACGCACTCGCTCGGTGGCTCGCTCCTCTCGTGCTCCCTCGCTCCCTCCCTCCCTCTCCTCCCGCTCTCCCTCTCCTCCCCTCTCCTTGACCTCGCTTGCAGGAAACACCCCTCCAGCCTTCCCTATCTCTCTCACTCCCCCCCCCCACCCCCAAACCGACCCACCCACTCCCTCCGGCCTGCATCCATGAACCATGAAAGTCCGAATCGCAGGAGCTCAACCGCGTGCGAGTGAGTCTAACCGTGCGAGTCCAGCCGTGTGCGAATTCAGCCGTGTGCGAAATCGCTGCGTGCAAGTTGAGTGCGTGCGAATTGAGCGCATGCAAGGCGAGCGGCTTCAACCCTGGCCTGACTCTGCACATGAAACCGGGTATGCGTCTGCCTCTAGGGTTGACTCTGGCCCAGATGAACCCGAGCCTGGACATGGGCCTGAGTCTCGGTCAGAGCCCGCATGAGGCTACAAGGAGGAAGAGAACGAGGTTCATGAGGAGGAGGGAGGGTATCTTCCTCATCGGTCCAAGCGTCGACGAGAAGACTCCCCGGGTCGCCGTCGCCGGGCACGGCCGCGTCGCTGGCCAACCCAGCCTACTGACTGCAACTCACGACCAAGCATACACTTGGCAAGGCAGGCAAGTCTGCCTCCCGCCTGCTCGCCGACGCTGCGGCCTGCCGCGAGCGCCCGGCCATGCCCCAGCTGTCCTGGCAGGCTCGGCGCCAGTCGCAGCCTCCCCCTCGGCTGCGCAGGCTGCCTCACACGAACTCGAAGCCGGCGACTTTCGTGGAGCCGCGGCCTCGGCCAGGGCTTTGGACCTGATACCCGAGAGCCTGGCTGCCTCGGTGGCCACTTCCTACGTCCGTTTGGGCCCTGGTATCGGTGCTTTCGGCAGGGGGCTGCGCGGGCCAGGTCGCGCACCGAGTTGCACCGACTGGTATTGACAAACACGAAGGAGGACGATTTCAACAAACAGGTATCCTGTTTCAAGAAAAACTGAGAGCGCGAGGCTACAACATGAGGCAAGTAGGCCAGATAGTAAATAGTTTCAAATTCGACCAACGGCGGAATACGATCCTCAACATGTCTGGTAGGGGCAGCATCGAACGTAGGAGTAAACGTTCTCTTGTGTTCGATTTCGGTGTCACCTTCGCCTACGCCTGGGGTTCGGAGAGAGTCCGTCCTCCGACGGCTTTCCGAAAAACATCGCAGATCTTGTCTGACAGGTTGGGGGGGCCAGTGAGGGTCCGCCCGTGGTTCGGAGTAGGCAAGAGTAGTTTCAGGCTTCTGTATAAACACACGTGGCGGGATAGGTTTGTTAGGGTGCCGTGTTTTTTGTGTGACAATGGTAGTCATAAAAAACGGGGGGCGCCTTTTGTCCACCCCCTCAAGCTCAAGCTGTCTGCAGGGACCAGAAGCGGGTTGCATTTGAGACCAGATTTATTCCTCACTTGCAGCAGCATCGTTAGGATATCCAGTGGTGCATGCGACGTTGCTTCGAGCATCATGCGAAGATCAGTCTGAATTAGTTGCGACGTTGCTTCGAGCATCATGCGAAGATCAGTCTGAATTAGTTGCGTACGTGGTTCGGATACACAGTGCAGCACAGACGGGCGAGACGGGTTTGCAGCAAGGCTTCCCGAACTCCGCAACCGCATCTTGCCTCAGAGGCCCCGTAAGGGACCGTGCTAGCAGCACGCATTTACTGTACGCGCGTTGAGTCCAGGCAGGAATCCTTGTCTGCCACGAGGCCATCCGCCCCCAGCGAGTGGCTCCGCCTTCGCTACAGCGTTTCTGAAGCAGATTCTTCTTGTTCTGTTCTCGTGCACCTGGGGCGCCCTGTGGAGGCGTCCTTGCACGTCGCCTCTTTCGGTCTCGAACAAGCTCTGCACCTCGACTAGCTCACGATGGATGACCTCTTCAGGGCAGTTCTCCTCGCCCTTGCGATCCAGAATGTCGATCTCGGCGCGTAGCCTCGGGCCTCGGGTCTCGGGGCCGTGTGACCGGGAAGAGGGCGAGGGCGCCGCCGCCGACCTCCCCCTAGAGGACGTCGAGGCACCACCCCGAGCCCGTTTCACGCACTAGCCTCTGGCGATCTCGGCGGTGTCGAGGACCTCGCGGGCGCCTGCGCCTGAGCCCGAGCTGCGCCGCCGCGGATGAGCCCCTCAGCTTGCACGCCATGCTGATGACCTGGCCATGTTTGTGGCCTTGTCCGTGTGGTGCTGACGTGTTTCACTGCATCTGCCGCCGTCGGCGGTGGCGGGCCTGACGCCGCCGCACGCCCGAGCTGCTTCAACCACTCAGTCGGGAATCCTTTGAGCTTGTCGGCGCCCTTCATGGCCTCCACAAGGTGGTGTCGGCAACCGGCAGGACCAGCTGCTCAGCCACGGCTAGGCCCCATGACCTCCGAACATTTGAAGGCCGAGCGACCGCCGAGCCCATACATATCCAACGACGCGGCTTCGGTGTTCCAGGGTTCGGTCCAGCAGTCCAATGCCTGATTCGATGCGAGGCTTTGGATTGTTCGTCGCACTGCCCTCCACGCACTTTGAATGATTCGACGCGCGGCATAGTTCAAGCAGGAAGAGTTGGCGCACACAGAGGCCGTCCAAGCAGAATGCCTGCGAAGAGTCTCAGGTATCCCGCATTTGGTCGTCAGCCGAGTATCGAATGCGAGTGTGCTGGCAGGTGCACGGCGGATGAAGCTGAGCGGCGTTGTGTTGCAGCGTCATACCGAATTTTTCTGTGTGTTGCAACACCGATGATCATCCTTTGTGTCCAGTCATATTGAAAATTTCCTCCCTCATCATCCGCCCCCTCTCTGGCAAGGAGAAGAGAAGCAGACCGCGGCAAACGTGGTCCGACGAGTTGTACAAAATTACAAACGGCATTGGGGCCAGTTTTGAAGTTTAACCGACTAATCATGCACAGTCCCGGCTCGAGACTGGAAGCAGACTGTACATTAATGTTGCTTGGCGTGGTAGATGCACCATCTTGCTCGTGCGCCTTCTCACTCACGGCTGCGACTGACTGACTGTCCTCCATGGGGAATGTCCTGTTTGCGATGGGAGGGCCCTCGCGGCGACTCCAGGACACTCGGCCAGTTTAAGTGCGAAGCCTGGCGACCAGAACACGGCCAGCTGGGGACTAACTGTGGACCCCTCCACCGAGCCCCAGGACCGAGGCACCTCGTCGTGCCGAAGAACTCTCGCTGCCCCGAGGCAAACGCCTGAAAATCCGCTGACGCTGCGAACATGACTTCTAGATGGCCCTGTTCACCTACGGTCCACGACTGCTGGGAATCAGAAAACCGAAACATGTGTTTGACATCCGATCGCCGCAGTTACAAAACAACGCAGAAAAGCAATCGTGAAATACTCGCTCGTAGACATCTGAAACGCTGGAGCGTTTGCAAAACAACGGAGCGTAAATGTGCCAGCCAGAGCGGATCCCAAACATTGTATTGCACTGTGGACGTGTGAGTTATGTGGTGCAAGCTATGTGGTGCAAGCTATGTGGTGTAAGCTATGTGGTGCAAGCTATGTGATGTAAGCTGTGTTGTGCAATCTACGTGGTGAAATCGATCGAGGTACCTACGAGACACCCACGGATGTGCACCAGGCAAAAACCTCGGCTTACCCCCCCAGCGCGGGGCGCCCACGAAACGCCCACGGGCACCACGCGCGGGCATCGGCCGAAAACTCGGAATACCCATCCAATTCTTGAAGCAACAGAATTAAGAGCCCCAAGTGCAATCACTGTTTGACGAATGGGGCCGCAAGGACCAGCAAGAGTGAGGTACCAGCGCGAATCTTCAGAATCTCCCTTTCCCGAAACCTGGGCGGCAGCGACAGACACGAGGAATTCCATGGCTTTCGGACATCAAGCCACGCCCTCACAGCAACGCTGACCTCGACGGTGCGCCGCCATCGACGCTCGTTCGCTAGCCCTGTGGTGGCTCCAGAAGTAATGGCGCCGCCTCGAACATAAAAAAGAACCAGGGGAGCCCTCACGTCCGAAGACCTTTGACTGCCTTGCAACGTGCGGCATTGAGAAGCGACATATCATGGCGGAGCGCCGCATCTCGCCCCACCATTTTGCAGGGAACCTTCGGCAAGCGTCTTGCCGACGCCTCGACTCACACCACAGGAGGCCGACAGAAGCAGGTCTTCTGCGAACTCCGCCTCCTCGGCCGAAATGTGCGCCGCGAGTTTGAAGGACGGCCGCCCCCCCAAGACGGGCAACGTTTTGGGGGGGTAGCTCAGGAAGGAAAACATCTTCACGTGCCTGGGCGGGGCGAGCCATCAGGCCTCAATCGGCGATCACTGAGCGAGTGGGGGTCGATGCATCCCCCTGAGCCTAATCACTCCCCCCCGTAACGTTGCCCCGAAACCCCCCACCACCCCACCGGCTGGACTCCTGCCTGGCTCGCGCCCTCCCCCCCCCCAACCGCGCCACCGATCGCGGCTGTCGAGCAGCTGCGGGCTGCCCCGAGGCCGAGAGGCCGCCCACGACGATCGCGTCAGTGGATGGCGACCTCCAGAGGGCAGCAGAATTCCCGCTGCCCGTAGCACGTCTCCCCGGACGCCGCTGCCGCCGCCGCGTCTCTCCTCTCCGTCTCCTTGGCCTCTCCCCCGGCATCCCTCCCATCCTCCTTCTCCCTCTCCTCATCCTCGTTTTCGTCCCAGTCCCCATCTCGGCCCCTGTCGGCGTCGTCCTCCTCCTCCCCCTCCTCCTCCTCCTCCTCCTCCTCCTACTCTTCCTCCTCCTCCTCCTCCTCCTCCTCCTCCTCCTCCTCCTCCTCATCCCTCTTCTCCTCCGCCTCCTCCTCCGCCTCCTGTTGCGTGCTATGATGAAGGTGCTCGCACGGACGGTGCGGCATCCGTCGTGAGCCACGGGCCTTGAATGTTTCGCCCCCCAATTTCCCTGCCTCGCTCTCGATTGGCAGCAGCCTGGCAGGCGATGAGAAGCAGCAGACGAACTCCCACGGGCCCGATCCTGATCCGATCCTCCACCTCCTCCCTCCACTTAGTAGCAGGCAAGTCTCCACCCGCGGCCTCCCCCTGGCCACCTAGCCAGCCGCGACGGCAAAGCAGGCGACAGCGTCGCCCAGGCCACCCGTCTCTCAGCGCTCAGCGCTCAGCCGCCCTTTTGCTGCCGGGCCGCAGGGCACCGCAGCAGCTTTCCGCCCGCAGCCATCGCCGCCGCCACCAGCGCCAGCACCCGCGCCCGCCGCAGCAGCTCCAGCAGCCTGGCGCCCTCGGCGCAGCAGCCCAAGCGGCGGCCAGAGCCCAGGGCACCAGCCGCAGCCACCCTCCTCCGCGCCTCCCGGCGTCCAGCGCTTTGGCTCCGCGCGCAGCGCCCCGTGCCCGGGTCCCCCAGCGCCGTGGCCGCCGTCGCCACCCGCGCCAGCCGCAGGCTGCACGTCCTCAGGGAGCTACTGGGCCTGGCTGAGCAGCCAAGGAGCGCGGCTCGCCGCCCGAGCGGCCCCCCTTTGTCTCCTCCTCGGAACCGGCAGGCCCTCACCAGCGCAGCGGGCGCGCTTCTCGCGCTCAGCTCGGCGCGACGCTCCGCCAGGGCGCCGCGCTGCGGCGCGATGTGCTGCGGCGTCCCCAAACGGCTGGATGGCGGACGATCGCGTCCAGCCACAAGCGCCCGTCCTCTTCCTCCTCCTCCTCCTCCTCCTCTTCCTCCTCCTTTTCCTCCTCCTCCTCCTCCTTTTCCTCCTCCTCCTCCTCCTCCTCTTCCTCCTCCTCCTCCTCCTCCTCCTCCTCTTCCTCCACCTTCATCCGGTTTCCTTACAAGCATCTCCTCCCTGTCGCGCCCGAGGACGCGTCGGTTGGGAAGGCTAGGCGCTTCGCTTGAAAATTCCTCAACGCTTATGGTCCTGAAGCTTTAAGACATGCAGCAATTTCACGGATGGAGGGCGGGTCGTGTTCAAAATGTGGCTCCGGCGTAGCTCCGGGCACAATCGTCAAAAGTTTGCAGGAACTTCATGGATGGAGGGCGGCTCCATTTCAAAATGTGGTTCTCCCGTAGCGCCGCGCGCATTAGTCATAAAAGTTTACAGGAGCTTCACGGATGGAGGACGGCGCCTTTTCACAATGTGGCTCTCGCCTCAGCGCCGCGAGCATAGTGTCTTAAAAGTTTCCAGGTGTTTCAAGGATAGACGGCGGTCCCTTTTCAACATGACGGTCTCGCCGGGGCGCCGCACACACATTCGTTCCAAAAGTCTTCAGGAGGTTCACGGATGGAGGGCGGCTCCTTCTCACGATGTGGCGCTAGCCTTAGCGCCGCGCACTTTCGTCGCAAAGCCTCACACCAATTTCAAAGATTCTTATGGTTGACATCTCGGGAACGGTGTACTGGCACGGCTTAGAGTTGTCAGAGCGCAACAATTCTATTGATTGGCGGTGTTGAAGTCCCAGGAATGGCGTTCTGCGGCGGTTCAGGATCGCCTGGACGAAACAACAACGTTGATTCGCGTCGTTGAAGTCCCAGGCATGTCTTGGCACGATTAAGGGTTCTTAGACTGCTATCTTCCAACGGGGCACTTCCCGCAGTAAAGATGAAGCCTTGTAGGGACCTATAAGGAGGGAGTTTGGAGGGAGGGTTTACTGCAACGTCGTTAATGCGCCTTGGGTTTACACAAGTCCTTCTCTTCCTCCTCCTCCTCCTCTTCCCGGCGGCGGCAGCTATTCTGGCTCAGCGGGGAGGGGAGGTTGTGTCATTCCACCCCCTCTTCAGGTCTGAGCTTGCTGCCACCAACGCTTCAGAACGACTGGGTGACAGCGGTCCCTTGGCTCGGGGTCCCCCATGCTTTCACACATGGCGGCCCCGCGATGTCTTGGCGGAATGAGTCTCGCGATGGTCACTCTCATGCTGGTCGTGCGAAGTCTATATCAAGGAAGTGGTGCGCGGCCAGTGCAACTGCAAGAAGAATCCCATCCACGCCTGCTATTGCAAGCACTGCGACAGCCACGGGAAAGAACCCGCCGCTGACGGAGGAAATGGCAGCCCAGGGCCAGCTCAGGCTGACTCGCGCCGTGGGCGTTGGCGCTGGCTGGTCCATCTGGGCCGTTGCCATCATCATCCGATGGAGGGGCTTCCAAGGGGGATCTTGAGCAGCTGGCCATTACTTGTAGGAAGGGCGGCGACTCACCCACGCTGTCCCAGGCGCGTGCGCAACTGGCGAAATTGGGACGCTCAGCACCATTAGCCCCTCAAATCCGAACCGATGCCGCGCTTAAGGAACATGCAGCGTCTGGGGAAGAAATTGGCGAAGGATCTGGAGTCGGTCCACGAATTAGAACAACGCTTGGCGCTGCGACGAGCTGACCTTGAGGACACGCTGGGCGAGCTGGACCTACACGAAGCTGAGTACAAACAAACTGCTGCTGAGCTGCATAGTGCCGTGCCGCCTCAGAGCCAGAGCGAGATGGCGCCGACGCTCCGCCGACCTGACATCCTGAATGTACGACGGCGACATGTTCGGGCTCGGCGACTACCAGGACCTCTCTAATCAGGATCGGTAGGAGGCTGAGAAGGGGAAGAAACAGCTGCCTGAGCAGATCCAGAAGCTCACCAAATCGCTTTCCGGCGGGGTAAAGTCTACGGCCCTGGAGAGGCGAAAGCAGCACCAGGAGCAACAGAAGCGGCTGGAAGGCAAGAAGACGAAGACGGAAGCGCCTGAGGGATGAGAGCCGGCGAACACGACCGATCGCAACCACTTCGGACTGTGCAGGAACCACGTCGGACCGATCACAACCAGTTGCGATCGGTCCGAAGTGGTTGCGACGTCTTTAGGAAGCTCCAAGAAGGTTCCGAGAAAGAAAGAAAACATCAGTGCGCTTCTGAAGCCTCCCGGTTGAGATTTTAAAAAACAGAAAAAACGTATGCGATCCGTGCGAGACGGCAATGAGGGTAACGGTAGCAGCCGTAGTCTACTAGCCGTAGCATGAGTAGTAGTAGTAGTAGTAGTAGTAGTAGTGGTAGTAGTAGTAGTAGTAGTAGTAGTAGTAGTCGTAGTAGTAGTAGTAGTAGTAGTAGTAGTAGTAGTAGACTACTAGTAGTAGTAGTAGTAGTAGTAGTAGTAGTAGTAGTAGTAGTAGTAGTAGTAGTACTAGTGGTAATAGAAGTAGTCGTAGTAGTAGTCGCAGTCGTACTAGTAGTAGTGATCGTAGTAACAGTAGCAGCATCACTAGTAGTAGTAGTAGTAGTAGTAGTAGTAGTCGTAGTAGTAGTAGTAGTACTACTACTACTACTAGAAGCAGTAGTAGTAGAAGCAGTAGTAACATTAGACGTAGTAGTAGCAGTAGCAATCGTAATAGTCGTAGTGGTAGTGGTAGTAATAAAAATTACAGTAGTAGTAGTAGTAGTAGTAGTAGTAGTAGTAGTAGTAGTAGTAGAAGTAGTGGTAGTAGTAATAGTAGCAGTAGTGGTAGTATATGGTGAAGAAGCTAGTCCTAGTCGTAGTGGCCACAGTAGCAGTTTTACTGCTCGTGGAAGTAGTAGAATTAGTAGTAGTAGAAGTAGTAGAAGTAGTAGTTGTAATAATGACTGTGCTGGAAGTAATCGTAGCAGAAGTAGTTGTAGTAGTAGTACTAGTCGTAGTAGTAGCCGTCGTCGTAGTAGTCGTAGTACTAGTAAGCATACTCGTTGTCGCAGTCGTAGTCGTAGTCGCAGTCGTAGCTGCGGTCGTGGCAACAGTAGTAGTGGTCGTAGTCGTTTTGATACTCGTAGTGGTATTCGCAAAAGCAGTAGTAGTAATAGTAGTAGTAGTAGTAGTAGTAGTAGTAGTAGTAGTGGTAGTAGTACTAGTACTAGTACTCGTAGTAGTAGTAGTAGTAGTAGTAGTAGTAGTAGTAGTAGTGGTAGTAGTAGCAGCAGTAGTAGCAGTAGTAGCAGTAGTAGTCCTAGTAGTAGTAGTAGTAGTAGTAGCAGTAGTAGTAACAGAAGTAATAGTAGTAATCGTAGTAATGGTTATAATAGTAGTACTACTACAACTACTAGGACGGCGACTGCTACTACTACTACTACCACCACCACTACCACTACTACCACTACTACTGCTACTACTGCGACTACTACTACTACTACTACTACTACTACTATTACTACTACTACTACTACTACTACTACTACTACTACTACTACTACTACTACTACTACTACTACTACTACTACTACTACTACTACTACTACTACTACTACTACTACTACTACTACTACTACTACTACTACTACTACTACTACTACTACTACTACTACGACTACTACTACTACTACTACTACTACTACTACTACTACTACTACTACTACTACTACTACTACTACTACTACTACTACTACTACTACTACTACTACTACTACTACTACTACTACTACTACTACTACTACTACTACTACTACTACTACTACTACTACTACTACTACTACTACGACTACGACTACGACTACGACTACTACGACTACTACGACTACGACTACGACTACTACTACTACTACTACTACTACTACTACTACTACTACTACTAC